AAAAAAAAAAAAACAGTTCCTTAGCCAAACTAATTAAATATCAAATGCTTGATAGTCACATATAGCCAGTAGTTATCTGAACAGTGCAGATTATAGAACATTTCCAACATTACAGGAAGCTCTATTGGACAGCACTGCTAAGCTTATTAAAAAGTTCTGGTTCCCTGTGAAGAGAAGGACCCAAACCACAAATAGCCAAGAATCAGACATTTTTCATAACATTAGAAAAGGCTATTGAACATAATTCACTCTTTTAGTTGTATAATCTACATGAGAAAAAAATAACACATAAGAGTCATTTTATCACAGGAGGTAATCAGAGTCTTTCCACAATACCATTTTGAAGTCATATTTTGTACATTGACTTTTTGGTTCACTTCATCTCCTTAAGCCTTCTGGAATGGAAGTTAATCAATCCAGTCTTTTTTCCCTCCAAATTTAATGTTGTGATGACTTCTTGTGGATGTGTGTTGAATAAAGTACATCTGAAATCACCTTTCCTTGTTATTTTATTTCACAATATTTACTTTAAAGGTATTTTGCAGCACCTGGGTGGCTCAGTCAGTTAAGCGTCTCTTATTTTAAGCTCAGGTCATGATCTCAGGGTCCTGGGGTCGAGCCCTGCATGGGGCTCTACATTCAGTGGGGAGTCTGCTTGAGATTCTCTCTCCCTCTTCCTCTGCCCCTCCCTGCACCCACCCATGCTCACGCTGGTGCGCTTTCTCTCTCTCTCAAATAAATAAATAAATCTTAAAAAAATAAAGGTGTTTTCATTTTTCCATGTTTTGTTCCTTATGTGTTCTTGCAGAGAATATTAAATATAGAACTACCTACAATATATATTTTTTGGCATTATTAAGAACAATTTAACTGAAAACAGGGATAACATCAAAATTACTCAATAAATCTTAGTAAGAAAAACATCTATTTGAAATTGTATGTGCTTTCTTAAAACAAACCAAAACAAATGCTGGTAAGACAATATCCTCTTTGGGGATGTAGTTGAGGAAGAGACTGAGACATATTGAAACACTGACACAATACTACTACTTCAATAAAAATAATAGTCTTACCGTTAGGTGCAAAGAAAGTTTTAGCCCTGGCATGGCTTACACGGACTATCGCTCAAGAGTCAAGCAGGTGTATTGCTAAGATATCAAAACTATAGTAGGTCAGAGAAACTGGAGTTATCTGGGAAGGATATCACTGGACTAAGACGCATGATTTAGTGATAGCTAAGAAATTTTTTTGTCGTTTAAATTACAATAAGCAAAGTGAAACAAAACCTGTATAAGCACACTGATGAGAGAATGCCTAACTTTCAGAAGTGGCAAATTATTTTAGTGAAAAGATGGCTTTATTAAAGCCTATTGACAGCCCTAAACCTCTTAGATTTCATTCCAATTGAAGTAATAATTTGAAGTGCTAATCAGAGTGCATGAACTGCATTTTGCCTGCTGAGTGAACATTATCAATGTTAATTAAAGTTATTACCAGCAAATAAATGAAATTTATTGCATACAGCTCTGGTATGTTTCAGAAAGCAAGTGATCTAATTTCAGTGTGGGCTGGCAAGTTGGCATTATGCACTATCTTTAAGGAAGAATCTACCTTTCTAAGTCAAAAAAATTTATATGCAAAAGTAAAGCAATATCACTTTTAGCACATTACTCCCAATTCTTTTTAGTGCAGACTTTAATCACTTAAATAAAAGTAGTTGTGAAATGCTTGCTTTCAAGTGTCCTCTGATATTTTATTAAACTACATTCATTCATTTTTATACTTTTATTTCATTTATTAGTAAATGTTTTTTCTCTCAATTTTTCCTGTCAATTTAAACTTCTATGTAGACCTTTTTTGTTAGTACTTGGCACGTTCTGATCAATAATGCTTGTTCTACGGCAACTAAGATTTCAGTTTTAGTTTCATGTTAATTTCCTCAACTCTCCAGGCAAGCTCTGCCAGCATCTTGGCTAAAATTCTCAGGGCTTGAATATACTTATTCTGAGCTTTGATTTTTTTCTTTTTAATCATCATTGCATTCTGAAAAAAATCACGAGACACTCCGCTGCAAAGCTACTGGGTTTTCTTTGAGTTGCTTGTACTCACTGCGCTCGCGCTGGCGCTGAAACTACCTCCCGCTCAGCACCCACTCGATCAGTCTCCACTGCGCCGCTGCGGAGCCTGCACCCGCCTATTCCCCCAGCTGCTGGGACAGCCCGGCGGGCCTTTACTTCCTGCCGGGACAAATTACCTATGACTGGGCGGGAGAAGGGAGGGCTCTAGCTAGCACCTATTACCCAGAGGTCTGTTGCCTCGGCGCGACCTGGCTGCCCGGCCAGCCATTATTTCCTTTGGGGACAATTAGGGACAGACCTGCGGGAAGAGGCGGGGCGCTACAATAAAGGAGACCTGGAGGCCGCCCAGGGCGGCAGGTTGAGAAACACCTTCCTCCAGCTGCAACGCAGGAGTGCATGGTCTTGTGACTCACGTGACCCTGAGGAGGGGTCCTCAGACCGTGTGTCAATCAACCAGCAAACTAGAAAGGGTTCTGTGTATTTTTTTTTTTTTTAAAGATTTTACTTATTTATTTGACAGAGACAGAGACAACGAGAGACAGCGAGAGTAGGAACATAAGCAGGGGGAGTGGGAGAGGGAGAAACAGGCTTCCTGCCGGGCAGGGAGCCCGATGTGGGACTCGATCCCAGGACCCTGGGATCATGACCTGAGCTGAAGGCAGACGCTTAAGGACTGAGCCACCCAGGTGCCCAAGGCTTCTGTGTATTTGAAGAGATGCTTGTTCAGGGAGCTCCGTGCGTGTCACCTTCTAAATGTCACAGAGCTCGGTAGTATTTGTACTGTTTATGGATGAATCAAAAGGCCGAGGAATTTCATACAATCATAAAAGGCTATCTAAAGCTGAACTTGTTATCACCATCAAGAGATTCATCTGAACCACTAATGTCACCAACATCTCTGTGCCATCACAAGATTTCACTTGAAATCACTAATCCTTTCTAAATGCACCCAGACCCTTTTTTCTGTGTATTTATCTAATAGGTACTGAGTACCATGTAAGAACATATGTTCTAGGCCTCTGAAACTTGAGATTTTCTGTTTTGTTTAGTTTTTAAAATACAAATACCTGGACCCCACAGCAG